TCTTTCCCTACACCCCAATTTTCTTTTGGTTAAACATCGACCGGATTATAATCTGTATGCATAAATTCAAACTCCAGCTGATGATAATTTTGCTTCGTATTCTATTAATGCATATGATAACTTGGTGCAGGAAAGAGAACCACCTGATGTGGATTCTGAAAAGAGTGAAGATGATTTCTATGATGCTGAGATACTGGATGAGATGACAACCAACAGGGGCGAGTTGAAACTCAGAACCCTGAGCTTCAAAGAAGATAGATTACATCAGACAAGAAATACTTATCCCCTTTAAATAATTTGGTTTACTTTCTCATAGTATCTTAATGATTCATGCTTATGATGGAGTATGATATGGTATGCTTGACAGTTCTATCCACACGAATAAGGATGACATTTGAATAGAATGAGTACCTCAACAACAATTAGGATACACAAGATAATTACTATGATCCTCTGTTAGGCTGTTTGACCTAAAGAACATGAAACAAAGGCCCTTTTGAGCAAGAGTGTTGAAGAATATCACTTGTGTCGACTGACAGAATATGTTGCAAAAGAGAAAGAATGCCAGAAAGAACAGTGTTAATGAGGAGGCTTTATATATAGCTTGTGATTGTTTGCTTACATATATCTACCGCGAAAAAGAAGTTTGAGAGGGGAGGAGAAATGAGATATTATTAGGAATGCAGAAATCCTCATCTTATCCCTAACGAAATTAGTGAAATTTTTATTATTAGTATTGTTTTTTTTTACTTGAACAGATTGATAATCAGAAATTATAGAAATCTTTCACATTTTTGTTGGTCACTTTACATTATAATCAGTTTTCCCAATTTACAAAATCACATAAAGCTGAACCATTATTCATTTTGACATAGATATATAATGGCCTGCCCTTTCTATATTCTCGCATTGCATTCTCATTGCCATCAGTTAAACATCTATGGAGCCTTGAAGCTGTTTTGATATGCTCCATGCTTGCAAACCGCTAGAGAGGTCAGTGCCATCTCTGGTAAGCATGCAGTTTTGGCATGGACTTTGATATGCTAAAGGAAAAAAAAAAAAACTCATTCGAGAGTGGGAATCTGCCTTGAAAAGAGTCCCTATCTCACCAGCTTCTCTCCCGTTTGACATAATTTTGTACCTAAAGTGTCATGGTCTATCATATACTCATTTTCCTAATCCATACAGGTGGAATTTTCTTCCCAAACCTCCATTCATGCCACTCATGCTAACTGGTGCAATGCTCACGAGGAGTATATTAGAACTTCTTTTTTTTTTTCCTGTTAAAACTAAATCAATCACCGAAGCTATGCTCATTCTTAAGAGTGTCTTGCACCTATCCAGGAAGAGTAAATCCTGTTGTGGTGGTGTCTCTGATTGTCAATCTGTGAGAGTGAAAGAGAGTTCTGGTGCCCCTTTAATCAATGGGACTCACTTATGCTGATTGAAACCCACTTCTAGAGAAGACTACTGCTAGAATTCTTCATTGCTAACAGCCATTTCATCTTCTTTAATAAGTCAATTTTGCTGAAAAAGTTAAAAGAATGGAACTCTGCTGTGTAGCTTGGAGCACCTGGTGTTTGTGTTAAAGTTAAGTTCCTTATGGGTTGCCTGGGGCCATAAATATTCGTTGAGAATAGGAGTGTTTGGAATGTGAGAATCCCAGATGACTGTAGTTTGAATAGGAGGAAAATTTTGAAATTGAGACATTGTGTGGGATCATTTGGAAACGGGAGTAATGTCTTTCTGTGGTACGACAATTGGCATCCTTTAGGGCCTCTGATAAAGATTTCTGGGATGAGGCTTATACATGAATCAGGAAATAAGATTGCCTTCTACTGCTAAAATTTGTGATGTTATTTCCAATGGTGATTGTGACTGGCCGAATGCCTGGTCTGATACAAAGTGTTCAGGCTGCTGCTTGTGGTGTTGTTTATCCCATTTTCTATTGATGATTCCGTACTTTGAAAACCTTCTCCTAAAGGAATTTTCATTTAAAGAAGTGATGCAATCAAAGACTTGAAATTTTTTTTTTAATTATAGAAGTGTTGAAATAATAAATAACTTAATAAAACTGGGTTAAACCACAAGAAGGCTAACTGTATAAATTACAAATAAAGAAATAAATAATAACAGAAAAGTAGTTGAAAAGAGCTTTGAAATGTGATATTAATGCAAAAATTAAAGAATGATAAAATAATTATCAAGATTAGAGAATCTACTAATAATATTTTAAATAAGTGTCATATAACTTTTTTATTACTCACCTGGAAACTAACACAAAAAGGTTTTAATCAGATTATAAATTGTTTACATGATTACATTAATTATCTTATTCGAATAATACTAATACTTGTAAATGTTTTCAGGTATTCATAATTATAACTTATGTTAATAACAAATCAAGTTCTTTTCATAGCATAGGTGTAGGTTATACCGTACGGTTTGGTTATAAAAGTATCAAGTATTTGTTATACCAAGTGTTATATAACATAAATTTAAATTAACCATTTAACAAATAAAGTATTAAGAGTGAATAAGATAACAAATACAAACATGTTAGTATCAAACATTAAAGTCCATGTTGAGTTTATACTATGCTTATTTTTACACTATTATTGAATTTTTTTTATTTTGACATAATAAACTTAACTAAATATAATGAAAAAGAGAAATATAAATAAATAAGATAAGAGCATAAATAAGATATAAATTAACCAAGTAAAAGAAAGGAAATGAAAAGTATAAACAAGATATTAATATAAGTAAAACTTAAGCATTATAAAAATAAAGAAAGAGAGCAAGAACATGATCTTGATCTGAAAATTAAAATGCCTAAATGGGCAAATACCTTCTTTTATAAGTCAAAATTTAGAATTATTGATTTGTTGACTAATTGTTGAGTGGGTGATCACATCTTAACTTGGTGATAATTCTTTTTTTCTTGTCTCAATCAAATGTCATTGCTAATATCAGAATTCATCAGAATTTGAACAGATTGTCTTCATAAAAGTTTTAGAAAATTATCTCCGCTTTCCAATAAAAAAAAACTCAGTGCATTTGAACATCTAGAACTTGAGATATGCGTTGAATGTTGAACAGTGTTTGGACTAAGTACATATTTGGATTTTTTCATTGTTGTCACATTTGAACTTGAAAATAATCTTTTTTGAATCTTGGACTCTTCATAAAAGTTTTAGGCGTACGTCTTACCTTTTCATCCATATAAAACAGACTTAAATATAAGTTTTACAGTCCAGTTGTGATCCAATAATTGAATAGTGTTTCATTTTGGACTGGACTAATATCTTTTTTTTTCTAATCTTAGCTTTCTTTTTGTTTTCTTTTTCTTAATTTCAGTAGTCAAGTTCATCAATTAATCCCTTAATTTATATGATAGGCTTGTATTTAAGATAAACATTTATTATAAATTAAAGGTATCTTATATTATTAGATATGTTATTATAAAACATGTTTTAGCTAAGAAGTTATTGATATTTCAAATGCAAAATAATAATATAAAATATTGATAAAATATTTTTTTAAGTACTAATCAAGAAGTTTAAGTTTACTGGAGCATATAGATAAAAGAGGGATCAGGCTTGGTTAGCCATCTTGAAAAGGCTATCTGCTATAGTAAGATTGGGAGGCATGTAAACCCTAAATGTGTTTTTTGCAAAGGAGCAATTGAGGACAGAGATCACTTCTTGTCCAGAAATGAAGAGCATATGCCATTCCATTTTTCAGATTTTTAGCATCCAAAGGTCAGTAGGTGATTGGAGATGTGAACTTCATTTTGCAGAGACTTATTTTCAGTAGAGTTTTTTCAGAACTACCTTGATGAGGCTTGCTTGATGCACTATATTTACTTTATATGACAGGAGAGAATAGAAGAACACATGAGAATAACTGCTCTAGTACTTTTAAAGTTGTGATGAAAATCATTCTATAATATGTTGCTCGAATTGCTGAAATTTGCAGGAGAAACTTTTAGTGCATGTTGCTTTTGATTGTTTGTTTCCAGGACTATTCATGTATTTAAGGCTACTGTGCACTCTCACCTTTTGTTTCTTTGATAATGAAGTATTCATCCGAAAAGAAATAAAATTCAATAGATAATACAACAATAATATCCTCCCCTTAAGCACCCTCTCATACAGTTGGTACAAGGCCAAGATATGGATAGATTGCTTCTCCATATTAATTTTTTTTACTTTCAGGTTTAGCAGGTTCAGTATTCTATTTTCTCCAGGAAAATTGCAACAAACACATGAGCGGTAGGCTTACTCAAATACTGTATTCCCTATACAATTTAATTTTCAGTTTTAACAAGACAGAGGGTTCAGCAGGTTTACCCCATACCTAGACAGCCAGGTATTCTTGCAGGTGATCCCCTAAGAGTAAGAAGGCAACAAGTTCATCATCGGCAGAAGACAGAAACGAAAGAGACAGAGATTAGTGAGCAGAGATGAGCTCATATCCTCTGATACTACTATAGTATCTTGGGACTCGCACCATTCAGCATTACCACGATAATCCAAATCTTCTCTTTCACTACACTTCTTATCTCCTTTGGCCCCTGCGACCTTCAGATTTGCATAGCACGTTCATTTCTGTGACTACTGTGGGTGACAAATGTTATGCTAACTTTTCAGATTGTAGAATGCATAATCTCCTATTTGCTATCACAGTTTCTCTATTTATACAACACGATCCGGAAGAAAATTTTGAAAGATAGAAAGACAAAGCCAGACTACAGGAAGGATCACCATGTTTCATTATCAATAAATTGGCCCACCGTGAATCTTGGATAGGTAATCTGACCTCAGAACTCAAACCAACTGACATATTTAACTTTAAGTGCCAGCATCACTAACAAGAACAAGATGATCGCCATCTCTAAGTACCTCCATATCTTCAATTTCAGCACCTTCCTTCGTTAGAATCTTGGAGGCATTGCACCCAAATTTTTTGGAACCAATATCAAGTAGTTCTTGGAGTGAATTTGGTAAAGCAACAATCTTTCCAGCAACTTCACCTTTATCCGGGCAACTGAGAGTCACTCTAGCACGACAGTTCAAACTTGCGAAGCCAGTAAAACGGGCTGGGGATGAAATTATGTCATTCTCACCTGCAAATTTTGAAATTATGAGTTTATTTAGAGTAAAAGTTGGCAAATAAAGAGACTTATTTGTTCAAGAGTGTATAGCAATTGGATGGTTTCTAGTTATCTTTTCAAGGACAAAGTTAATTACAAACTTCCCAATTGATAGGGTGGTCTCTATTTTCCTGAGTAATTCAATACCTCGCAACCATGCCTTCTTTTTCCTCCTGATTTTCCTGACGTGAAACACATGGTTGACCACTATAATTCTTACATCCAGAATTCATACGGTTGACCACTATAATTCTTACATCCAGAAGTCATACTTATTTCTTGGTATTAAAAAAAATTCAAGGTATTGCAAAAATAGAAGCGTTCTTACCAGTACTAGCAACTGACATCATCCCAACAAGAGAGTTGTGGAAATTGTCTGCCCTTCTCCTTCGAGGTCTATCAGGCCATGAGACTTCAGGGACTGGTGGCATAACATCATGACGAAAAGAAGGAGAAAATGGAGGTATTGTAGGTTCACTACTATACCTTGCCATGGGCTTCCTACCAAATGGCACCCCTGGATGCTTTGGGATTGTGGAAACCCTTTTTTTATTCGTCTGCGTCCTATTTTCGAACAAAGCTTGAATTTCCTCTTGGCCCTGATGATCAGCCAAATCCCTTGGTGTCCATCCATGGAGATCTGGCTTATCAACATCGGCTCCTTGGTCTAAGATGAACGTGACCATTTCAGTGTTTCCTTCAGAGATTGCTGTATGAATGGCAGTAGTTCCACACCTTGCAGGCAGTGTTACATCTCCACCATATTTGACAATTTCCTTGAGCAAATCCACGTTATTTTGCCCAGCAGCTGTATATGCAAATTGGCCCACATCACCAGAAGTTATTGTTGCCCCATTGTCTGAAAGAAGTTTAAATACAGATTTATGATTCCCCTGTAGCGCTTCCCATAGAGGAACATTGCCCTCTGAATCTGCATTAATAAAATGAAATTATTGTTGAATTTATTTTGCCAGATGAGTCGGAACAATCGTTACGGGTCTTTATGTTTGCTTATTCCCGAGAGAATACCTTTGATGTTAGGATCTACTCCATACTCCAGAAGTAGGACTACACAGTGCTCATTCCCATTTGAAGCTGCAATATGCTGTGTATTCCGAGTCCATACAATAAAGGAATCCGGGTAAGACAATAACGTTATGAGTACAAGATTTATGCAATATGTATGAAAGAATATTTCCACACCAGCGCAGTTCGTCCATTTTCGTCCGACTCATTTGGATCTGAACCCTGCTTCAGCAACTGATGCAACAATAGATCATCACCCCTCATTGCTGCGATGCACAAAGTAAGAGGTAAATCCATTCTGTCCTGAGTCAGCATGAGCTCTGTGTGTTGCAAAATTCCTTCCATCTCTGGATCATTCAGCTCTTTCAAATGCTGCATCAACCAAAAGAGGCAGTATCAAGTAATTAGCATCTGTTAATAACACAAGTGGTATTGAATTTCAAATTTCAGAGTTATATCTTGGAAGTATTTGGAATGGAGTGTAATCATGGCCTATTTCAGTACAGAACCCAAAACAACATAATGGAAGCACTCGTGTTCATGTTGAATTACGTTACACATCACAAAAGAATGAGAGATTTTTTACAACAAGCAAATCATTAGCAAATGGCTTTCTCGATGCATTTTTCTGATATATTTGAAGGAAATAAGGTTCCACACCATAAAGCATGCTGTAAAATAAGCCTAAACCAAAATCTCATTCATTCTATCAAATAATGAAAGATGTCGATACATAAGATAATTATGAAAGAAAATGCATGCTTAGCACCAAGTTCCTATTCTTAATTATGACAACAGGTGGTTGATTACAGAAAAATAACCAACGACTAAAGATAGCTAGTTTTTTAGAAAATGACAGTATAATATTTATGTATGGTGACAGTATTTGAGAAATGTTGTTGTTAAGAACTTTTGCTGACCTGAAGAAGGTTGTTCATGATTACTGTCCCATCTCCAACATTTGATTGGACAATATTTAAGAACGCAGTTCGATTCAAACGTAGGAGCTGACTCAACCGTTTGGTTCGAACTGTGAATAACTGTGGTCTGTAACATAGCAGACCAATCTCACCAATAACATCTCCAGTTGCAGCCTCACCAACAACCTGCAATCTTCAATTAGAAAAATTGCAAATTATTTATCATGGTAAGCATGCTCCAATTTAATTTCTAGCTCAATACAACTGATGGAATTGGTGGAAAGAAATTAGAAACGTTTAAATCACTGAACTTGCCTGCTCTATTCCATTCCTGCGCACGCTAAGTTCCTGCAAAGTAGAATTGTAAGATTTATGTACATAAAAATGTCCCCTAGAAAATGGAGATCTCAATTCCAAAAAAAGTCGCACAAAAGGAAAGACTGTCATTCAAAATCAATTAATGGACTCCGACCATGATATGTTCACACCAGGGAGGCATATTGAAATCGTGTTCTTGACCAATCATAAATTGAAACCACATGGAACATGAAGAGGGCGTGGAAGGGAGTTTTAGTTAATTACCACCGCGCCAGTGACTAAAATATACAGATCTGTTGGTGCTTCATTTTGCAAAATTACATCTTCTCTGGGTGGAAAGTATTCAGCTTTCATCTCTGTGACCTTCAATATTAAACAATTTCAAGTTACAGAGATGGAACGAAAAATCAGATAAACAAATATGAGTGGCCAACAAGAGGACATAATCTTCTCTCTTTTTTTTTATGAGCATCAAATGAACACAATTAACGGCTTCCTCCACCTCTAAAACAGGAAAAAGTTTCCAAATTTCTTCCATAATCCATCAAGAAGATGAAGTAAAAGAATTACCAGCTGAAAGAGCAGGTCATTTGATACCCCACGAAACAAGTACACTTTATCCACAAGTGAATAAAAGAGATAGTTAGAAATGCTCGATCGAATTGCTTTAGGAAGAGAACCAATGGTCTCTTGTTGATGCAATCCCTCCGAGTCGGTTCTGTACTTCAAACATAAATGAGCAAGCATCTGTTCTTGTAACCGAATCGGAAGGCGGTTCCTTTGTGCAAAACTTGAGACAGCTTGGATAGTATCTCTCTGAAAATTCCATGCAAGTAATGTCAATAGTCTAAAAAAGCTTTAATACACTTGAAAACCAAATGATTAAGGTAGAGATAATTCATTTAATCAGTTACAGAATCTACCACAGGCTTGCTAGGCAAGCAAAACACAGATCGTAAGACAAGTTACTCACAAATTGCCTTGTTCGGAATGTGGCATGGACAACCAAATTGGTCATGTTTCCAATCAAATATGATGTCAGTCCAAGATTAAACATCATGTAGAACATGACGAATATCATCTCCTGCGGATTGACAGCATGCAAATCACCATATCCAGTGGTAGAGAGCGTGGTTGTAGACCAGTAAAGTGATTTGACATAACGAATCCACAGGCTCTCTCCATGAAAATCTTCCCAAACGGATCCGATCCATGTTTTACTTGGATCCTTGTAATTTACAGCAATGCGATAGTAGAAGCAACCGGCCATGTGAACTACAAATAGAGTAACCTACAATTACATCATGATCCTATAAGATGGATAGTTTTTTCAAGAAGCTCAAATATTTTATCAAAATTACCGAATTGAATTTTTAATGAGTGTATATACTCACACATATGAGCTTCACGCATCGAACCACAAAGTAATTGTAGTTCCTATCCTTTTCCAATCTGATGTAATTAATGAGAACAGTGAGAACAATGCTTAATATATTCAATTGCAGCTGTAAATGAAGCTGAAGGCTGAAGATAGCATTTAATTACCTTGAAAAGAATTTACTAACTCGCCGGAGACGCCAGAGGCGAAGCATGCTAAAGTACCCGTATGACTGAAGTTTATCAGGCAATATTTCCCTGATAAGCTCAGATGGGATTGTAGAGATAACATCAAGGACCAACCACGATTTTGTATACCTCCAAGCAATCTTTTTCCGGTTATCAACTAGTAGATATGAACTTTTGTCAAGGTATGCAACAAAGAAGGTCAAAACAATATCAATGGCAAAAAATCCGTTGACAACATTATCTGCTATGGCTAAACCCCCACTGGGTTTGCTAAGGTAGCCAAATTCAAATGGAGACACCCATGCTGTGTAGAAAACTAGAAATACCAAGAAAGTATCCCATAATCTGCATTGTCAAACATTAAACATTCATTGTTCAGCTATAACAAAACATGGAGAAGGGTATCACAAATTAAACCTGCAATTCAAGAAAAAAAGGCGTTGATCATTAGCTCAACTATAGGAAAGAACATTGAGAAATATCACAATTAAGAGCAACTAATTTCCAACCACATAATATCTCAAAATTAGTGGTAGGATAAATGATGATCCGACCTTGTTCATGTAGACCAAACCCATCACATTACTCGAATCATTGCAACAACAGTTTTAGTCCACATTATATATCCTATGCATGAGGATGGGTGCCTTCATATTTTCATGAGATTTAAAAGTGTAGGACCATCATGGTTTTGGATTGTTTTTGCAAAACCATGGTTTAACACATCTTGGAATTCCAAAACCACTCATTTTTGTTATCATTATGAAGTTTGAAATTCCAAGGCATCTTTCTTCTGATTCAAAATAACCAGATACTTTTTTCATTATCATATCATAATTAAAAAAAACTAATGCAATAACCTGTAGCGAGGGTCGAAGGGAGAGAGAATGTAGCGACGGAGAATGACCCGGCGGTTGCTACGAGCGGTGGCACCTAGAGAAGGGAGAATCTCACCGGTAAGGCTAAAATGGCTGGCATCGTCTCCTGATAATTCATCATGTTCTTTGTCACGTATTCCATTATTCCCTTGTTCACTTCCGTAAAGGCTTCCATTGTCCAGCCCCCCTTGACCACAGAACAACACCCTCTTCTTCGTCATTCAAATAACGTTAGAATCAAGAAAACTTAAAAGAAAAGGAAAACAAGAAGAGCCCAACAACGCCCTTTTCTTTGTTTCTTTTTTGGAAAGACATACGTAGTAGGTACAGGGATTTGTGCTAGGACACTGCCATTGTTGTTGTTATTGTTTACAGGTCTCTTTCTAACTTTGGGTGGCTGTGTGCTGTATTCTCAGTGTTTTTTATGGATTGGTGGCAGCGGCCGTCGTGACTGGAAATCTTTCCGTTTCACCTGCACTTATGGCGCTTGTCCCTCCATACTTATCCTATTTAATTCTTGTGATTGTTTTTTTTTTTTTAATTTTATTTAAAAATATATTAAAATAATAATTTTTTTAATTTTTAAAAATTATTTTTAATATTAACTCATTAAAATAATCAAAAATACTAAAAATATATTAATTTAAAAAAATTAAAAAAATTAATTTTTTAAAAAATATTTTTAAAATACAAAAATAAACATGACTATATTCTTTCTTACTAATAAATGCATACATTACACATTATTCCTAATCCAAATAAAGGTTTTTTTTAAAAAAAAAAGTTAGTTAGGAATTGATGTAGATTAATCTAATTTACCTCATAAATTAATTTATTATTTAGTCAATTTGATTAAAATTTTATTTTATTTTTTAAATAAATTAAATTTATTTTAATTTATTTAGATAAATCTAAACTAACTCATGAGTTTATTTAGAAGTGTGATTGTGATTATTTTTCAAAGTGTTTTTTATCTAGAAATGTATCAAAATAATATTTTTTTTATTTTTTAAAAATTATTTTTAATATCAGCACATCAAAATAATCTAAAAACACCAAAAAATATTAATTTAAAATAAAAAAATAAAAAAAATCAAATTTTGAAAAAATAATTTTTTTTATAAACGCTTTTGAAACGTAAAAACAAACATGGTTTAATATGGTTTAATCTCATTATCTGGATCTTAAATCAAATCATGAATTTAATAATTTTGTTGTTATATTATTATTATTATTATTATTATTATTAAACATTTATGCAAATATTTAATTTTATCACAAAGAATTATTATATATATCAAAAATTAATTGTCCTCCTCCATCACACAACGAATAATAGAGTTTGTTAATTAATTGAACCTGAATAAATTTACTATTAATTACACTAATTTATTAGCAATGGTTATAATAATTAAATGATTGGGTATCTGCCCAAAAATAATGGTTAGATAAGGGTTAATTTATGTAGATAGAGATGCCGTGCTTTAATTCAAATTGGAAGCAAAATATAGAGTTTTCAATAACATTAATAAAGTCTAATAGAATTAAGAGTTTTTAAAATAGAATTATCTCCCAATATATTAACATTAATTTCTTGGATCCTTTTCTATGAGTATCCAAGAAATTAATGTTAATATATTGTTGTATATTCTCTTTATATATTCTTTTTATATATTCTTGTATGGCAGAGGCAGGGGAGGAAATTTTTTTCCCAGCCCCCTTCCCTGTAAATATTATAAAAATAATTAAAAGTTTAACTTTGTTCCTTTTAATTTTTAATTTGCCCCTGTTAGGTTTTTTTTCTAACTCCGCCCCTGCATAGAATATATAATTACTAGTAAAGGTCATGACGCATACAAGAATATATAATAATAGGTTTATTACTGATTAAAACCAAAATCCTTAAAAACCAAGAATGTTACAAGTATAAAGAGACTTTTATAAAATAAATAATTTTTATTCATCTTAGTCTTCCTTGTTAAAAAACTATTATAATTTTTTATATTAAAAAAACTCTAATAATGTTGAATAAAAAAATAAAATAAGAAAAATACTTCCTTTAAATATAAAAAAATAAAACTAGAATATTATAATAATACAAAAATAAAGAAAAATAAAAAATAAAATTAACTAAGAAAAATATTTATTTCCTTTAAAAAGCTATTGCATCAATCTTTTCAGGTTGGAAAAAACTCATCTTCAAGTTCTAACCTTAGTCAACAACCATTATCCATCATGAAAATTTTTTTATGTGTGGTCTACCTCATCGTAAGTTCTTAACACAATATTTTTATGTGAGTTATCTCATTATAAATCTTTAACACAATACTTTTGTGTGATCTGTCTTATCATGAATCTCATCATTAGAATTTTTAATAACAATAGTTAACACAAACACAAACAACATACTAGTTCTAGTATGTGTTCTCTTTAATGAGGAATTTTTTCATCTCTTTGTACACAAGCATGCTCTTTTTTAAAATCTCTTTCGATCATAGTTATTCAATAACTCCAATATATATCATTTATGATTTCTAATCAAAACCATCAAGAATCATTGAATTCTAATATCAACTAATATATATAAAAATGAAGGATAGCAAGATCTAAGTTAAAATTTTCATAGAACATAAATATCATAACTATGGATATAATGCTAGGTTAAATTGTTAGGGTGTTAGATTATAATTATCATGGGACTTTATGAATGTTAAAAAGTATTTATTTTCTTAAAAAAAATAGCATGAGGCCATATCGGGACTAAGATGAAAATGCACCTAAAATTAAGGAATTAAAATGATTTTTTAATGGTTATTTTATATGGATATAATGTCAACATTGCCCCAGAGAGATAATAAATGCACTACCTAAATTCAATTTTATATGACTTTAAAATATAATATAATTTTTACATAAAGCATTTTTCAAAGAAATAGTAATTTTATATGGATACAATAATGTCAACATTTCCCCTAGAGGGATAATAAATATCAAGTGGCAAGTATAAAATTTTATGATAGGTTTGATAAGATTTAATTTTAACCAATTTATATTAGAATAAATGACCAATAACTCAATATAATTAACTCTCAAAACAAAATCACACCCTAATTTCCATAACTTATTGCAAAAAAATATAAATAAATAAATAAATTTTTAAAAGAGAGATGTCAAGTCAAGGCTTGCATCATAGTAGCAATATTTTATATGTATGCCGTATTAGTTCAAACTAATCATGTTATGATTTAGTATATGAATCAGTTACACAATGGAGTGATTAAAATTATTTTGTTCTATATAAACCTAATTTATCTTGTCATTATTCTCTTTTCAGTCTTCTTGTTTTGTCTTCTTTTTTTTTACAAATAATTGAATTCAACTTATGATGCGGTTCCAAAATATATAAAAGTAAAATTACTTGTTATATTTTTATTTTGGAGCTATCTTCAACTCAAAGTTATTAAACTGATTTAGCCAGCATTAAACCTAATTTAAGGTTATATTAATATTTTTTAAAAAATAAAATTTAAAATAATTAAATTAAGTTTTAATCTGATTAAACACAGTCGGTCGAACCCTAAATTAACCCATAGAACTTTTACATGTTAAGCATTGTTCACCAACGAATGTTACATATTTAGTTTTGGAATTAATCGAACAACTTTGAAGTTAACATGGGAAAAATGGAAAGATGGTCCGAATTCTCAACTAGCACTAAAGCTTTGCCTATCTAATCATTTGTTCGTGGATCAATAAGCAAAAGAAGCTTTGAAGTACTGCACTCCATAGAAAGCTTTACAATAATAATAGCTTTGAAATACTATTGTTTTCTCCAAACACTGATCAATTCGGTGTTGATCCGAAATCTATCATGCGGGTCCAAACCAAGACGTGGGATGTTGAATTATATGAATGCTGCGCAAACTTGATTGGCCGATGTTGTTGTGATGTCTAAAGCATGCCCTTTTAACTCTTTATAAAATCTTTTAAAGCCATAAAAAAAATTAATGGAGTATTTATTTTTGTGATATAACGTGGTTTTTAAAGTATTTTTAGAAAGTTAAAATATATTATACCATGATACCAAACCAAACTCTAGATATTATATATGAAAGTAGCATCGATAAGTCAATTTCATTCCATAAAAAAAAAAAAAAAGTTAAAATATCACATTATAATCTATAAGGTCGACCCATAATTATGTTAACACATTGGAGAGAATCTTGCATCTGAACGCGGGACAAATTCAATTCCTTTTTTCTCTTTTATTACAAAGTACGAGCTCTTCCAACATTGTCCATGTCGAATAGTTGCTGTGATTATTTGTCTTTGAAGCAATGCTTTTCTCAAAGGCAACCAACAAATCGGATCCTTAAATCTTTCATGGGCCATCGATTTTATAAAGCTGTCTGCATTCAGTCAAATGTGATATTGGTAGACAACATTAAATCAATGATAAAGGCGATGCTCTTCCACTGTCAAGGCCTCCAATCAGGAGAAACATGTCGAGGACATGATTTCCCCTCTCCAAACATGAAAGTGGCCTCTCCATTTCAGTCACGGGAAAGTAGTAATTACATTACAATTTGAACTAATGCGTGGATACTGGTCGTAGGATTGTCAACTCAATATACGAGTCACAGTAACACCCACGAGAAGAAGAAGAAGAAGAAGAAGACGAAGAAGAAGAAGAAGGAGGAAGAAGGAAGAAGGAAGAAGGAAGAAGAAGAAGAAGAGCTTGGCTGATTGCCCTAGCTAGCAATCCTCTGATATTGGATACTTACGTTTCTTTGTATATGGGTTATTATAAAGCAAAAGTTATTCATGCATGCAGCAGTATGTTCAAAACAAAACAAAGCTAAATACCAAACTGGCAAATTATATCTATGAACAGTGGTTGACTACATAGGTTAATTACATGCGATGCATGCAAGTCAGATCAGATTTAACTTAAAGTAAAAAAGTAAGATGTTTAGGTAATTATAATATTTTTAAAAGAGTAATTTTTTTTTAATAAGTTAAATAAACTTTATTAATTTAATAATATAATTATAAAAAAGATAATGAAAATAAAATTAAAAACAAATCCCAAAAAAATAACATCAATGACTAATAAAAAAATAAATGTTTAGTAATATTATAAGAAAAAAAATCCTATAAATACTTGTAAAGGGTCTCAATAATGTTATTTGAAAAGAATAAGGGATGAAATAGAAAAAAAAATCTGACTGTTTATCAAGAAAATAAAATAAAAAAAACCAATAAATTATTTGTCTTTGGATGAAAGAGCTCGACGCTTGTGTTGTTTTGCATTGGAACTTTGTGGTGATTGTGCGTTGCCAGGATCCTCACATGTGCTGCTGTTTATCAGAAGAATCTTTCAATTCTGTTCGCTGAAAAAAGAATCTGCCATCGATTCGTTCTGTTTTATCTTGAAAGGAAACGGCGTCGTTGACCATCATTATCTCGGCCACGATACCGTGAAGATAGGGCCATTGCCGACGAAAAGTTT